GGTGATAAATATTTGTGAATAATTCAAATGGCCGTAATTTAAATGATACACATCTCTATATTAATGCCATTACACTGTTATGTCAGGCAATAATTTCATCGTAACGTTAATAATATTTATCAGTTATGATTTTTTTCATTCAATTTAATAAATACTAAATACGGTATTCAATGTACTCAATGGGTTCTTTACCCCTTTGACTCGTTAGCCTTTAATTAAAACCTATTTTCTATACAAACAAATTCACAATTACATCAAAAGTCGCTTAAACCCTAAGCTAATTCGCCAAACACTAGGAATTTGTTGTTACATTTTGGGAATATTTTCCTGTATTCTCGCTTTAATGACAGAAAAATTCACATCATTTCAACATTTAATGCACAAAATTTAATACATTTATTTGGTTTTATTGCCAAACATATCGTTCTTCTCATTCTGTCGACAATATCGGAGTTAAAGACCGAATAGATGGGGTAAAACACACACAGATTCTCGGATCTGATGGCCTTATTATCGATACGAGAGAAGGGTTGTCCTCATTGGCCGACAAGACATTAGACATCATTTTGAAACTATAAATAAAAGATTACAACCAAACAGTCGGCCGTTTTAGTGCCTCTTTTATTCAAATACAATACTATGTTATCATTTGAATGTTGAGAAAAAATAGCAAAAAGAGATTTCACTATTTTGTGTGTTTTTTAAACAATCAAATAATTTATGAGAAGATTATTTGACTAAAAGATGGATTGAGAGCTTGTTTTAAGAGCTGGTATTGTGGGTGAGGGGGAGGGGAGGAAAGGGAGGCAACAAATACCTCTTTATTGATGAGAATTTAGTGAAAAATTGAAAACTTTTTACGAATGACTACTATTATAGTGGAGATTAGAGTATATTTCTAATAATACTCTACTTTTAGTGTTATTTGGATATAAATAACTCATTCAGTGAACGACAATTGAGAGCACTTTCACCTCTAATGGCACACATATGTTGTCTTTGGTATCGATTTTGCCATTCATTAGCTCTGAAGACAACGGAGTGAGTGAGTGGTTGAGTGAGAGAGACATACAGTATATGGAGTATCCATTGAATAACACAATACAATATAATATATTCATATTGTTTAATATGAATTATTGCCTCCCATTTCATTAATATCTAATATATTCGCTTTTCCGATACAATAAACCTTTCATACAATGCAATTCAAGTTAACGATTGGTGTTTAGGATTGTTAGCTATTCGTTAATATGACATAACAGAGAGAGAGAGAGAGAGAGAGAGAGAGAGAGAGAGAG